CTCCTCTCTCTCTCTCTCTCCCCTCTTCGAACCGTTACGAGTAATTGGTTCTCTAGAACGCAATTCCTGGATTCCACGGTGCGTTCCAATGCAAAGATATAAAACACAGGGCATTTCCGTAATCGCAACGCGGCCACGGTGCCTTCGCGTTTCAGAGTCGGACCGTAAGCAGCCATTGTTTCCACGGCGCGGTCGTTATACGACGGTGTGAATCGGTAAGGGCAATCGTGAACCATCAAGAGAGGTTCGCGCGGTCGTCGAGAGTACTTCTGAAATCAGGATTTTGCCGTAAATACTTGGATATCCAACTGATTTTCTTAGGTTCTCACGAGGCACTCTTTTTCTCGAGAGAGAAGAACCGATGTGGACGTTGCGCAAGAATCAATGATATTCGCCGTCCAGAACATGGAAAGGCAAACCTCTTCCCTCGTTCCTTAGTATTCATGATTTCAAATCAGTGGTTCGCACCGCCTGCTATTAATTGAGCCGTTTATTTTGGAAGTTGTATAACGCATCGATCAAGCATGTACATTAAAATACTTTGTGTAAAGAAATCATGTATGCGCATAATTTGTTGAAAATATTTTGCAGCTGTCTGGCCGGCAGGGACGTGAGTAACGTTTCTTAATCTTTGCAATACTCGCAAATGAGGAACGTCGTTTCGGCAGTCTCTTCACTCACAGGTTTTGCTGCGTGGAACATTTATCTTTTTCACCGACAGCGCGGCGGAAGGAGCCTACGGACAGTGCACGAAGTAGCTTCTCTCTTTCGTGTTCACTGCGGCGGACGCATATTTGTGGATCATTTTTTCGACCACATGTAAAAATTTCAGTAAAATTACATGACGCACGGAAACATTATCGCATGATTCTTAACATCGGCGATCGGCTCTCTCTTCCTCACTAGTGTGGCAAAACGAAATAATCCAATCAATTTGTTATTAGTACATTTCGAGGATAACAGGGTCGAGATGTAATTATTTTAAGTAGTAGCGTTATTATGTCTACTAGAATGTCTATGAATAGCATCAAATTGCAAAACTACGGTGCGAAGTAACTCCCGAGAGGAAAGACAAAAAGAACTCCGCTGTTGGACAAGGTTGCGTGAAACGTGAAACGTCTTATATTTGCTTCTCTCTCTGCTATCTCGCTAATGACGTTATAACGGTTGAGGGCCGACAATGAGATTATCGCGGGATAGTCCCGTACATTCGTTCCATTCCGAGATGGTTAATTCCTCGTATTCGCCGAAGAATATTCTCCCGATGTAGCGTCGAACGTTGCGTTTTCTCCCGATCTATGATCGACGGATATGCCGTGCGCGATCGATTCCTAACACTCGATCGAGCTGTGCAGCCGAGGAATTAGCGTCGATCGGAGATAACCTCCGATTTCTACACGTTGAATTGTAGTTTTATAATGGAGTGATAGTTCGGCATCGTTCTCACGCGTACTTCTGGAGGATTTTATGCGAGAATGCACACAATGTTGCGCAAT